TTACCTTTAAGCAATTATTCAAACAGTATGATAAATAATTTTTCACCTGGACATGAAATTTCAGTGCACAAACCAACGTTGTATTGTTTTCCACCTTGACTTTGTTCACAATCAAAATCAATCCCCGTTGAACAGTTTCTTTTTCTTTTTTGGAAACATGCACCTGATTGATGTTCACAAATCCAACTTCCCCATGGTAACCAGTAAGGTTGTTGAGAAATTGAAGGAGTTGTTGGTGGTAATGATGACGTCATCAGCAGTGTAGCTTTGCTGTATCTAGTTGTTACTGTTTAAGTTTCAATATTTCTATTTTAATATTGAAAAACAATGAAATAAAAGGGGAAAAAATATTTAACATTCTCACCAAACATTTTCATATTCTTGTTGATTTTAGATCGCACCGTAAAACATTTTAAAAGTCATTACAGAAGACTTTGTCTGCTTCTCTGTGTATTGCTCCAGACACAAACGGGCTCCTGAGTAAAACCACCGACGTTCCGAAAGCTAACTGGATAGTTTCCTTACGCTTTAGAATCCAAAGGCCAAATCAACCTTTGAATCCACATAAGGGGCAAGTGGTTGCTAGTCAAATACTTTAACCAATCAGTCATGGACGCCTAACTTTAAGAAGAAAGTGATTGTCAATAATACAAAAAAAACCAACTTGGTTTATTTTTCTTCAAACAATAAACAGGGTTAAAACCTGAATAGAGAAGAATCTTCATTAGTCATTTTGAAGTCTGGGTAACTCATTGAACATTAAAAAAGTAATATTTTACATTATAATATTTTTATTTTGTTAAGACATTTAAGTCATTTAATTATAACGACATAATATAAATATTGAAAAAAGGTATTTATTTCAGAATTAATATTGGTCTCAGCGGTGTTATCGGTTATTTAACACCAGTTTTGATCACGAAGACTGTACTGATATTCCGTTTGTACATTCCAAAATAAAGGAGTTCTAACGCTTTTATTTATTTTCTAAGCGGTTGAATATATACGCTGTCGATATTTGTATTGAACTTTTCTTTTTTGCACTCTTTAGTACCTAAGCTATAAAGTAATTTAACAAAATAAATCATAAGAAAAGTTTCAACCTATTTCTCATGAATAATTTTATCAATTTTTAAACAATTTAAACTTTATGCGTCAAACTGGATTATAAATTGTTAACAACAGTGCCCGATAAATCAATCGTCATTCCCGAACCCATTTCATTTTAAAATGACGTCATACTGGCGTGTTTTTGATCGAGATGACGTCATAACGCTGTTAACGAATTGCCGTTACCTTTTTAAAATATAAATTATATCTACTGATATGGATAAATACTGTGGCGTTAGTATAATAGTTTGATATGTTATATGTCAATAAAGCATCATATGAAAGAAAACTTAAAAAAAACAACAAAAAAAAACAAAACAATTAAAAGCGTTATAATGGTTGCAAAAATAAATTGCATGACAAGCATATGACTACTGGCAGGATTAACCAGTTTTTTGGCTAGCTACTTCGGGCTTTTTTATTTGGGCCGTAGCCGTCTAAACTCAGTTTTACTTCCTGTGAAACTTACAGTAAAGAACTAAATATAAAAATGAATTAACATCGGTCATTTAAAATCACATATTGAAATTTAGGAAGTTTGGTTATTCTAAAATAGAATGTAAGTGATAGTTCTTGCCATTCTAAATTAGAATCTTAAGGATAGTTCTTAAAGGGAGACACAGTCAAAATTTTCATATTTTAGATTTTAATTTTCTATCCAATATTCTATAAATGTCATCGAAATGAATAGACTAAGCAGTCCTTGGAACAAATTTTTTTTCCATATAAAGAAAAAAATGTTGGTTTCCTAACCTGACCCACGCGGGTCAAGTTACAGCATTTAGATTTCACCATAGTTATCACCGTGAACTATAAAAACGTAAAAGAACCTGTCAAATGAGCGACTTAGGCTTGTTTTAATCTTACAATATCTACAATATTTGTTTTGTTAACTTCTAGGGATTGTAATTGTCAAATGACTTGTTTTAAAACTACTCATTAGTTCTTTCTGCGTCGTCATTTCGTTCAACATATGTAGACTTATTTAGGTTTTAAACTCACATTATAAAGTATTTATACAGACAAAAAAACATGCAGGGACTTTTAATCACTTTTTAAACTTCATTTTAGCATAAGTTAAGTAAATATGGTAAATTTAATATTTTGTCATATATTTGCCTGAGTATCCCTTTAAATAAGATGTACATGACATTTCTTGCCATTATAAAATACAATGTAAAGGATAGTTCTATAATAAAACGTACACGCTTTTTTCATTTCTAGTTAAATTGCAGAGATATAACCATACTTCCTCACAGAAAACATTTTACATTGCGTTTATATCTCATTTTATTTTCTACTGAACGGTTTACTTTACGTAAGAAATTACGAAGTTTATATTACACAATAAGCAAGTTATCCTTTTTCATTTCGGCCGTGTATCTTTTTTTTAAATATATTTCTTGTAATCCCTGTTGTCGGTGGTATCAAACAGGAATAGCCGCATATACATGTAGTCCCTAACCAGTTTTTCTTTTGCTGTTTTACACCGTTTTTACTGCTTTGTGTATAGTGACAGAATCACGAGGAATGACAGAATATATTCTTAGAATGATGTATGCCGATTACTATTTGCTTCTTGATATGAAGGAGAACTGACTTATGCCGGAGTGTATTTCTGACAATATAATTATTAATTTAATAATATGATAATATTTTTATCCTCATTCAAATAAAGTCTGGCTGGAGTGATTATTATATTTTAAATGTTCCCTGTGAAAATAGAACATGATAAACACGATCAACAAGGAAAGGCGGCGTTCAATGAAGTTCACTATCAACTGCAAAGCATGTAATAGATAAAAAAGCAATTAACATTGAATGTTAAAATGAACTGTAACGAACTTATTGAGTACAAAATAAATTATTATATTTGTATGACATGTTCAAATTTGGGTTAAGGCCCACACACATTCACAAAATTAATGTGATGTGGAGTTATGAAACACTTTTAAATCTATCTCTAGTTATCAAAATCGGTTGTGTTTGTGAAACCAAGGCCGATTAACCAAGGTGTTAAAGTATTGTAATATTTCTTTTTCATCATAATTATTTGAATTAAATAAAAGACAAAAAGTTTATAAACAGTTTTTTAAATCGTTTTGTTTCACCTCGCGTTGTCGTAGCTGAGATGAAATCTAAAATAAATGGCAAAGTGCAAACAAAACGCTATATTATGCGCAAAAAATCTTAAAAACTAGTAATGACGTAAGTAACTTCCATTTATTTGTCACCTGTAAATATCACAATCACTTTGTTTTAGTCGAGTTATTTGTATCATTAAAATACAGTTTCAAAAATATGTTTATTTTAATTTATCATAGGGATCCTATTAGATTTTTCTTTTTTCTTCTTTTGTTTGTTTGATTGTAATTGTACGTATTTTGTTATAATACACAATGAAATAAATGCTTTCTTTTCAATTAAAATGTAAAACTTGTACTTCACCTGAGAAAATACATCGTATATATCTTTAATGACACACGTTGAAAGTTTTAACCATAAACACTTGACTCATATTGATGTACATGAAATAAATTTAATATATAGAATTACGGTTTATATTTAGAGTACTATGAATCGCATTACATCAGTTTTGTATTCAATTACATTTTCATCCGAATGTCTACATACTCAAGAAAAATGAAAACCTGAACATGTAGATTCCGAGCAAAGTCTTACGATGGTGGCCATTTCACCAGGCTGAGATTCGCAATCTTTATCTACTCCGGTTGAACATTTTCTTTCCCGAGTTTGAAAGCAGACTGAACCTTGATGTCCACATGTCCATGTTCCCCAAGACGACCAGTAGGGTTGAGGAAGGGCACTTGGTTTTGCTGATGTAATTGTTGACAGTTCAGCTGTAGGATTTTAATTTGTTATACAAATAGTATCGATACATTCACTTTCCTTTGGCATATTTCCTTTTAAAAAACTTTTCAAATAAATTGATATTCTTTTCTTCAAAACACTTATAAAACGATGTGTGCAAAATTCTGTCAAAAATCTTCATTATTTATAAATCTAAACAATCCTATATATATTTGACAATAACTTTATAAAAAGAAGGTGTGTTGTAAATCTTAAAACAATTGATTTAAAAAAATAAACTAATAAATACATCGGCATGATCCTAATTGATATTTTAATATTTCCCATGGCAAATTTGTACAAATCGCATCTAAGCCTGTTTGGCAGCATGCCTCTGTAAGTTTTTCAAATCCAACAACACACGTAAGAAAGCATGCAGCAAACTGTTCCAGGGACAACCATGCTGTAATATTAACATTAGTTCTCAAAGCGATTTTAAAACAGTCCGTAATTTACCACTTATTCCATGTCTACTTTTAGTTTGTCAGGCATATGTCAACAGCCGCATAAATGACATCTCGATCTATCGAGCAACTTAGTTTCGAAATATCAACTTAAAGTTATATGACTGTGTAGGCCCGGTTTGATTAAGCCTGTTCATGGACGGTACTGCAAAGTGCAAGCTACCGTCTACGCCCTAGCACCCGCAGAAGCAGAATTCAAAATTCAAACAAGAAATGGTATAATTTTAAATTTAGAAACATTCGCAGATGTGTTCATACGACGGTTATTATGGAACCTTAGTAAAGAGGCATATGGTCCCTAAGTAGAAGAATGCGTTTCCCTTAAACGAGTTAACAAAAGGCGGAACTAAACAAAATGGAATTTTGAAAAGGGACATTATTCTGCAGAATGAAAACAACCTTAGTCTGTGCTTAAGAAGGAACTGCACTAGCACTGAACTATAAGACAATAGCATTATATTTTAACAAAATCAATTCGAGAAAAATGTGGTAAAATGCCCGACTTTTAAGATAACATTCATTACCTTGTCTGTCTTGAAAAATCTAAATATATACCTGAAGTGGTTGGACTTTTTGATAATCCTGAAGAACAGAAAAATATAATAAGGAACTATATTCGGTTGAATTTTTAAACCATAATTATTGCATGTTAAAAACATGCAAAGCACAAAAGACCGATAAATGTAGAAAAGACTATTTGCAGGCTGTACTAAAGAAAATGACACCAATTTTCAACAATCATATTGTACTATAATATATCATTAATTTTATAAATTCAGTTTCTACTAATTTAAGGCAATCAAAATTAATGAAATATAATAGTATATCAAAATCAACATAATGTGACGGGAATGTGACATTAGAACATAAAACACGACTTAAGCAATATATATATAATCATTAACATAAACAAAACAGATGAAAGAAACACAAGTACCTGGGCAGGACCCTAGCTTGGGTTTCAAAATATCCCATGGAAGATTTGAACAGACTACATTGAGCCCTGATTTACAACATGTTTCCAAGAGTTTTCCATATGTTGGTGTGCAAGTTAGGTAACACGATGCAAACTGTTCTAATGAAATATTAGCTGAAATGATTAAAAAAAAGTTAAAATACTTTACCGTTATTTATATTTTGACGTTATAAAAAGTCGAATCACAGAGAAATGTATGGAAATAGATATTTAAGAAAATAACTTTGAACGCACCCTCTCGCAGTTTTTATTCTGATACTTTATAAACGGTTGGAAGTCGTAGTGTTATCAATGAAATATCAGATTTATTATGATTTTAAAATGGTTTGCGCTATGAAGTGTAATCTGAGTTGATCTTAAATGTTGAATTATCTTAATGAATTTTCGCTTTACGCAGTGCTGTCCATGAACAGGCTCAATCAAACCGAGCATTTAATATTTACAATTTTACCGTTTTTGACGTAAAGGTCCTTTATGGATTTATTCCTCTTTACCTTAAGTTATTGCTAATGGATTTGAAAACATTGTAGACAGATAGATAAAACAGTACTTGTTAAAAAGTGTGACTTTCTTCATAGTAATAATAATAATAATAATAATAATAATAATGATAATAATAATAATAATAATAATAATAATAATAATAATAGAGTTTAGAAAATCTAAATGATAATGTAATAGATTTCTTTTATTTATCACTAAGAAATGAAAAAAGTATGTATTTGAAGAAATATATAAAGAAGTAACTTGCATGGTACAGCATTTCCATCCAGCAGAAAACGTTTGTTAGCTGACGGAGAGTCATCTGCAACAGAATACATTGTTTTGAGCGCCATGCTGTGCTAACATGTCCAGGGACAAATAAACAAATCTATATCAGTTATGTACATTTATCGAAAATATCAGTATTACTCAGTATATGTCATATTTTAGCAGACATATTTGTATCATGTTAACATAGATTACACATGTTAGTGACATTATGCAAACATATTTGCTTGTTGTCTTGTTGAATTTAAATACAAATATGTTTCAAGAGATTGATAATAAACCAAAAACTGACATTGTTAGTTTTTATAACTTTTGTGTAGTAAGCAATAAAATTGATGTAAGGTTTCTTTAAATGTATCATTCACACTAAAATAGGAGTAATGTAGCATAAAGTAAAAAAATAGTTCATTATAAATCGAAATATCTGAATTTTGCACAATTGTTAGTTTTTATAACTTTTGTGTAGTAAGCAATACAATTGATGTAAGGTTTTTTTAATTTTATCATTTACTCTAGAATAGGAATAATGTAGCATTAAGTAAAAATAGTTCATTATAAATTGAAATATCTGAATTTTGCACAATTTTATAATTATATTTTTAAAGATAGTTTAACACGTTTAAAAGTTTAACAATACGATACATGTACATATCAAAATAATTGATGAATTGATTTTAAAGTAATACGTATACATAAAAAGAATTTGTTTCGATAAGTTTCTAGTATATTTTTCATAAAAACTGAATAGATAAATGTGTTGACGATGTCCAACAACTATTTAACACTGCATGTACATTAACATTCGAAAAAATAAAACAAAATAAAATCAATGGTAAAGAGAAAAATTGGAAACCATGGTTTAATAGAAATTGTAAATCAATGAGAAATAAATATCATATAGCAAAAAGAATATATAATAAAAGTAAAACAGATAGAAATAAGTCAATGATTAAAAATATTAGTAAAGAATATAAACAGAGTATACATAATGCTTACAGATATCACAGGAATACTAGAATAGACAAACTTAGAAACCTTAAAGGCACAAACCCAAAAGAATATTGGAAAATAATAAACTCTTTAGATAAATCCAAAAAACAAAGCTCAGCAAATTTACAAGACCTATATGAATTTTTTAAGAAAGTGAATGAAGGTGACCAAAACCTAACTGAAAATGATGAACAAGATATCCAAATTGAAATTAATGAAGAAATAAATAACGAAATCACAGAAGATGAAATAATGAAAGCCGTTAAAACACTAAAAAACAATAAAAGCCCTGGAATTGACAAAATACTAAACGAACATATAAAAGTTACCCTTGAAAAAATGCTCCCTATATATAAAAAATTGTTTAATATAATATTTAACTCTGGTTGCATTCCATCAGTTTGGACAAAAGGTATTATTCTTCCAATATATAAAAATAAAGGCAATGAAAATCTTCCCGAAAACTACAGGCCAATAACATTACTAAGCTGCCTAGGAAAATTATTTACAGCCATTTTAAATAACAGAATCACAAAGTATACTGACGAAAATGACATAATCAAAAATTGCCAGGCAGGATTCAGAAAAAAACCACTCCACTGTAGATAACCTATTTATATTGCAAAGTTTAATAGATATTTTAAGGACCCAAAAAAAGAAAATTTATTGTGCATTTATTGACTTTAAACAAGCTTTCGATACTGTTTGGCGACAAGGATTGTGGAAAAAACTGATAAAATATAACGTAAATGGGAAATTTCTAAAAATAATTAAAAGTATGTATGAAAATATAAAATCTTGTATTAAAACATCCCAAGGTATGTCTGAATTTTTCCCAAGTTTGATTGGGGTCCGGCAAGGAGAAAATTTATCCCCCATACTATTTTCAATTTACCTGAATGACCTTGACTCCTTTTTATCGGAAAATAATGCACAGGGAGTAACCTGCAACATTGACAATGAACAAGACATATCAATAATTTACCTAAAACTATCTGTTATACTATATGCTGATGATACAGTTTTGATGAGTGATAATGAAACAGGCCTACAACAAGAGTTAAAAATATTTGAACAATACTGTACAAATTGGAAACTAACAGTAAATACATCCAAAACTAAAATAGTTATTTTCGGATCAAGACTAAGAAACAATATTCCAAAATTTAAATTTAACAATGATGAATTAGAAATAGAAAATGAATATAAATATCTGGGACTATACTTATCAAAAACTTGTAACTATAAGAAAACTAAAGAACACATAGCTAAACAAGCAACTAAAGCAATGTACATGTTACTAAAGAAAATTAGACATTTAGATTTATCTTTTGACATACAAATAGACTTATTTAATAAAACCATTAGGCCAATCCTACTTTATGGTAGTGAATTATTTGGTTTCAGCAACATGAACACTCTGGAAAAAGTACAATTGAAATTTTTTAAACACATCCTCAATTTAAAAATGTCAACACCATCCTATATGATTTATAGTGAACTTGGAATAATTCCTCTAAAGGAAGAAGCAAAAATTAGAATGATATCATACTGGTGTAGATTAAAAAGTAATATTAATGATACCAACAATAAACTATCTACTAAATTATATAAAATTCTACTAGCCCTCAAAAACCAAAGAAGAGTCAAATCGAAGTGGTTAGACTATATTCAAAGTCTAATAGAAACAAACGGTTTTAACAATATATGGTTGAACCAAGACAGCGTCAATCTTAAATGGTTCTCACTCGCTTTCAAAAGAAACATTATAGATCAATATTTCCAAACCTGGAGCTCAACAGTTAATAACTCCACAAATTTCATGTATAAAACAATTAAGCATAACATACAACTAAATAAATACTTTACAATAATCCCAAACTATTACTGTCAAATAATAACACGATTCCGCACAAGAAACCACAAATGTCCCATTGAGGTGGGTCGCTATCATAATATACCAATTAATGAAAGAATTTGCTCCCTATGTAATCACGGAATTGGGGACGAATATCATTATATTTTAGAATGCCATCACTTTAATGATAGTAGAATTAAGTTTATAAAGCCCTACTACTACAACAACCACAATAACTCAAATTTGACCAACTTTTCAATACTGAAAATAAAATAGAGCTAATTAAACTGAGTAAATTTATTGCAATTATCACCAAAACAGTAAAAACTTATTACACATGAAGTTTGATAATTACAACTAAATCAAATTAAGACATAAGATATGTAATACAAATAGGAAAATAAAAATAAACCATTTTATATGTACTTATTTCATACCCAATCAGTAAGATCAAAGAAACTAACATATTACTATATATAAATAATACATGAAGTATATGTATGTACTATATTATACATCAACATGTCAAATGTACTGTACAATATATGATGTAAAGTTATAAATTGTATTAACATTATTAACTTACATATATATGTATAATATTAAGATTGAAAACTCAATTTATAGACCTATGTATCCATTAAGCTGATTCAGATGTACATTTATATTGTTTTCTTTTTGCCTTATTGCTATTTTACTGCATTTGCAGTATATTCTTTACACATACATTATTATTACTAATTAATTATTTTTTATTTTTTTTTTGCACATAAGGATGTATGTTTTTTGTATTTTTTGTTTGTTTGTTTGTTTATTTTTTCTATTATTAATAGATCTAGTTTTTGTTTATTTATTTATTTATTTTTTTACTCTTTATTGTTTAACATCCTTAACATTTATCTATTATTATTATCTCATAATGAGACATATTGTGCGAAACATTAATGAATAAATGAATAATTGAGTAAATGAATGAATAAATAAATAAACAATTTTAATTTTACATAATCATATCAATGTATGTGTTCATTTAATGTATATTTTTGCTATTGAGATTGTTCCTTACTTCAATACTGTATATACATAAATAAACCAGACAGTAGGTACTGTAAGTTGGTAAAATATTTGAAGGATGATGCTAAATTTTTCGGAAAATCTTTTTATAATAGAACAATTCAAACACATGGAATCATTTTGCATAATGCTGTAACATTTTTTATGCACTCTATTGTAACTACTGTATTGTTCTAACTTCTAAGTAAATAAATATTATGACTAACTTAGAAAATATTTATACAATTCTTTACCATTTAATTTTCCATAATACTTCGGATATATATTTTTTTGCTGTCACTAACATGCATTTATATTGTACAGGACAAAGTTTGTTTAAAAACTTGAAGGAAATATTCATTTTCAATGTTAACAAATATTTACTGTAGTTTGGAAAATGCATTTCAATTGAAAATTCGCGCTCACTAGATTTAAAATCCATATTGTTGACAAGACAACTGCCAGTTCAGCAGCCCTTCAAATTTCGCTTTCGTTTAAAGGACTGTACATAGTGGCCTGTTCACCAAATTGGACGGCATGCACAATCCCTATACGTGTAAACAACTCAACAAAAATAATAAATAAAAATAAAATTCACTTACATATTTCTACAGTTGTTATGCATGCCAACAGGAGATTGTGAGCATCTTATAATCGGACCCTCTTATAAATAATCCATCAAATAAATTTCAAAATGACACAGTTCACTGATTCACATTTATTCCAAAAATGAATTATTGCCAGGATCCACAGACCGCAGACAACATTTAATAACCCAGTACGAAGATGTCAACTTCTACCCTTAATCAGATTACGTGTGATTAAGTCCGAGACAGACAAAATCCATGTTTTCCATGATATTAACCTCATCCTGACACAATGACACAATTTCTGCATAACCTGACTGACCTAAATGACATAATTAATGGGTTTACACGGTGTGTAAATCAATCGACCAATCAAATAACCTGATTAAAATATCTACAGACCGGGTCGCGCATTATTAAAATCCATGAGTATGACTAGAATGGACTGGTATCAATATCATTAATTACGGAATAGATTTTTTTTTTCACTTTCGTATAAATTCCTTCAAGATCTTAAATAAAAGTTGTCCTCTGTGATTACGTGTA